AAGACTGCAAGTGTTTTAAAACAATTGTGTACTCAATGGGACCTGCTGATGATGGTTACCTGGTGATGGCTGAATTTAACAATCGATATATACAACAATATAACAATCATTTTAAATATTTTAACAAACATGAAACAAAAAATAAAATAAAAAAGGCAACGCAGACATACACAGATATCAAAAATCAGCACATGAATCTCAACAATGGTGACAATCACAACTATTTAGATAAAAAGATTAATGCAGAATGTCGCTGAAAAGTTACTAATTCACAACAAAACCAACAGCAAAAAATAAAAGCAAATATTTAGAAATCAAACAAAATCATAGGACAATGCAGCATAATTTATTCATGTTGCAATGCATGCTGGGAGTTTTGTACTATGCTGGTACCCAGCATGCATTGCAGAAAAGTACTTTTGATTGTCACCATTGTTGAGATTCATACGCTGATTGTTGATGTCTGTGTCATCATAAATTGACTTATACACAGTGCTTGAAGTGGGGCGGTACTCACAGGTAGTCAGTACCGGCACTTCTACATTTTACTCTTAAGCGTACCGCTAGCCTGGTTAAAACCAGACCATTCTCAGTTGTAACTGAGTTATGGTCTGGCAAAGCGTCATAGACGAACCATTTCCAGAGGAGCGTCACCAACGGACGTCGCGGATAGACCTAAAACCAATCAGAACGATGAAGGAGATGACGTATGCAGAGCGGCGGAGAAACATCTCCGTGTGCTGTTCTTTGCTCGGTTTTTAACAAAAAGGAAACGTTCAAATCGCTTAAAACAGACGCGATAGCTGATTCGAACGAGTGATGTTCGACGGCGGCATCCATCTTTGTAATGTAGGCTACAAAATCTGCTTCAAAATCCCAGTGCTGTCGTCATCGTGTAAAGCCCGCCCCAACGTTTCTGATTGGTGCCTCGATTTCGACGGATTGGAAATGGGCTTGAATGAGCTCTTTGCCAGACTAACTTTCAGAGCAAATCTAAATTTGCCGGAAGTTGTCTGGGTTTTCCCAGGCTAGCGTACCGCTACTTCTCGCATGTAGCCGGTACTCGACCACTGACAGAAAAAGCGTCAGTGCCACACCTGTTTCACATATACTCCATTTGCAGTGCGGTCCGTCAATGTGCTCTTGGTGCGGTACGTATACAGCAGTGCAGTGATTGTTCCGAGTCTATTTTTGCTGTGCTGCATGCGCTGAATTAAAGTGACAGCGCAAGGTTCGTGGTCAAAACACAGATTGACATGAAAATATAATCTCACCATAAATGCATTTAATTAAATAAAATGTAGTATCTCACCATAAATGCAGACTTGGAGGAGTTCAGTATTCATACACACGCAAGCACGTGCGCACACACACACACACACACGACTTGTTTTAATACATTTATGTTGTTAATAAATAACAATAAATTGTTGTTGTACCAGCAATATCTCCAAGTTTTGTTTTTCACTATAGAAATTTCAAATGTCATGATTTGCCAATGCAAGAGAGTTCCGGCACCTTTTCCCCACTTCAAGCACTGCTTATACTCATGTTTGTTAAAGTCTTCTAACTTGTTGTTATAATATTGCTGGATTTCATTCTGCAGTAACACATGGTTTATGATGTGAAAAAAATATTAATTTGACAAAATAATTGTGAAATAATTTTTTTTATTCAATGAGGTTATTTCATGATGATTATAAAACCATCAACAGGTAACCATCATCACCTGATATCATTTCACTTTAACTTTCTTTGCTGCTGCAAATGTGTTTGACAAACACACTGTCAGAGCAGTCAAAAATATATAATAAGAGCCCAACTAATGGAAACACTAATCACTGTTATGGTGACTTCAAATGAAACAGAGTTAAACCTCTGTTAATTCTCAATAAAAACTTCTGTAGACGTCTGACAGAAATAAAGTCAGTCTGGTTAGTAATAAGTGAAGCTGGTAATGCTGTTTGTGGACTTGTTTAATCGGTAACACTTTAGAATACGGTTCCTTCGTTAATGAATAACTGCACAGGAACAAATGAGTAACACAATATTAACAATCTAGTAACTACTATTAACTAACAAGAAATTCTGATTAACAAATTAGTAAGTAACAGCGCACAGATGAAAGTGGTAGTTCACACTGTAAAAAATTGCCCTGTAAAATAACGGTAATCTACTGGCAGCTGTGGTTTCCAGCAATGTACTGTTAATTTACAGCCTTTTACCGTTAATTTACAGCTCTCCTTTTTTACAGTCTGTTACCGTAAAAATACCATTGCAGGTGACTCATATGGAAAACCGATTGCTTTAAACAGTTCGAGTTCAAAAACTAGTATTTATACTGATAGTACCGTAAAATTCCTTCATTAGAGTCCACTGAAAATGAATATCTCTTTATATAAAACTGCAAACACCTAATATGTAATAGTGAATTAATTAAAAACATGATTTTAACTTTCATTTTAAGTCTTTTTAAAGTCTTTGCAGTTTATACAGCAAACATTAGCATACATTGTGCTAAAGTACTTAGCAAGGAGATTGTCACTTTATCAGCAACTACACAGTTACTGCACAGCAAAATTCCCAGTGTTAAATTAACACTCTCGGTGTACATATAGGTCCAACTACAGGGTGTTAAAAATGAACACTGAAGCAGTGTTGAAGTTAATGAGATAATTAAGTGATTAATTAAGTGATGATTGGTCATTAGTGGTGACACCCGATGTTAATAAGCAGAATCATTGAAGGAAAGAGAAACAACAAGAACGAAAAAAAGAGAAACACAAGAACTTGCACTTATTATTACCAGTGTGACTTTATTTCTGTCATACATCTACAAAAGTTATTGAGATTCAACAGAAGTTTAGACGGCAATGTTTTATGGAATTTTTCATTTCAAGCCACCATTATGGTGGTCAGTGATTGCTGTAGTTGGGCTCTTGACCCTTTTCATTTTTTATTGTTATGTTTTCTCTGGCTGCTCCAACATAGTGTTTATAAAGCACATTTGCTAGTGCACGAGAAAACCTGTTAACAATATGTTGTAAAGATGACATTATCGTCATGTAGTGACCTGATTCTCTGATGTCATTCAGAGTCTAAATCTTTGACTATATGATTGATGTTGAGTTTTAGTATTGGTGATTGTAGCCCTGAGATTCTACAGTTTGAGATCCAACAGCAATATGAACAATTTAGAAAATTCTTTGTGCACTGAAGCTCTTGTGTTCAGACACACAAACATCAAGAATCAGCATATGAATCACAACAATGGTGACAATAAACAAACTAGTGACACACAGATCAACTCTGAACATCACAAAACAAGCTATTAAAGTCATAACAAAACAATAGCAAAATAAAAACAAACAGGAAAAACAATGAAAATTACAGGACAATTCAGCTGCATAATTTATTCATACTGCAATGCATTATGGGAGCCATGGATGCATTTTGATTGGTGGCTCCCATCATGCACTGCAACATGAATCTTTTGTGTGATTGTCACCATTTTTGAGATTCATATGTAGATTCTTGATATCTGTGTGGGATTTTAAAACCTTCAGATTATTAAAGCACTGCTGGAATTAGCTACTGTAATGAATATGAATAGAACCTTTGTATAATCAATTTATAATGCTGGTTGAGTGAATCAGGACACTACAGGATTGTAATTTCATCATTTAAACATAACCATCATGACCTGGGATGTTTCCCAAAAACATTTTAAGCCTAACTTGATCGTAGAACGTTTGCAACAAAAGGTCTGTACATTCAAATTAGGTTTACAATGCTTTCGGGAAACACAGCCCATGTCGTGGTTTCTCTTGCAGTAACACATGTGCTTTATAAACACAGAGTTGAAGAAGCCAGAGGAAAAACTAATATTAAAAATGTCAAGAGCCCAACTAAAGCAAACACTGATCGCCATAATGGTGACATGAAACGAAACATTCAATAAAACATTACCATCTAAACTTCTGTTCAATATAAATAAGAATGTATGTAGATGTATGACAGAAATAAACTGGTAATAATAAAAACAATAATGTGTAATGGCTCGAAGTCAGAAGTTCTTGTGTTTCTCTTTTTTTCTGTTCTTGTTGTTTCTCTTTCCTTCAATGATTCTGCTTATTAACATTAGGTCTCACCACTAATGGCCAATCATCACTTAATTAATCACTTAATTATCTCATTAACTTCAACACTGCTTCAGTGTTCATTTTTAACACCCTGTAGTTGGACCTATATGTACACCGAGAGTGTTAATTTAACACTGGGAATTTTGCTGTGTGCTTTTACATAAAGCAACAGGCAGCATAACATCAGTGTTTCTCTGCTCATCTTTGACTGAAGCACAGGCTCTACTCTCCAGCACAATGGTGACCCACAAAACTCAATTAAACTAACAGATTTCTCCTGTATCATCCTGTGCAAAATACATAAAACACTTCAGTTTAATATTTACTCTACTTATCAGTTATTGACTTCGCATAACTTTTTTTCTATGAACTTTCACTTATATTTCAGTGAAATTAACTTCTTTTGTTTAATACATCTAACTGTAACATTTTACAGAATATTACCGTTTTTCCTTGATTTTACGGTAATCTACTGGCAGCTGGGTTGCCAGTAAGTTGCTGTTTTTCTACAGTTTTATGCCGTAAATTAATTTACAGTTGATTACCGTTAAAATACGCTTCACTCTGTTTTTTTTTTTATCTGACACATTTAACCCTTTCAACCCCACTGCAAAATCTTCAGTTTTAAATTGTTTCCACACTACAGAGTGTTGGAGTAACACTGAAGCAGTGTTGAAGTTAATTATATAATTCAGTGATTAATCAACTGATGATTGAGCATTAGTGATGAACACCTGATGTTAACAATCAGAATCACTGAAGGACAGAGGAACAACAAGAAGATAAAAAAGCGAAACACAAGAACTGCAACTGACTTCAGTCACAGAAGACATTAAATCTCTGAAGATCTCAACAGAGGAGGATTAACTGACAGTCACTTCCACAACATCTACCAGTCCCACTACTGAAGGTGAGCATGTTTCTGGGCTGAATGTGACATTCAAAACATGTTCCTCCTTAATTTGTGTCTTCTTGAAGAACACAGTAATTCAGCATCTGAGTCTGACTTATGTGTTTTCATGTGTTATTGTTTCAGTTCCTTTACAGCCGGACACTTCCACAACATCTACCAGTTCTACATCTACAGGTGAGGATGATGTTAGACTGGACTGTTATATTAAAATGCAGCCCTCCATAATGTCTTAATAAGAACACAGCACTTCATCTAAATCTGACTTGGCATCTTCTTCTATCTTGTAAATGTTAAAGGCCATTTATTGACAGTCACTTCCACAACATCTACCAGTCCCACTACGGAAGGTGAGCATGTTTCTGGGCTGATTGTGGCTTTCAAAAGATCCTCCTGCATAATAGTGTCTTCTTGAAAAACACAGTAATTCACCATCTGAATCTGATATCACTGTAAAAAATTGCCCTGTAAAATAACGGTAATCTACTGGCAGCTGTGGTTTCCAGCAATGTACTGTTAATTTACAGCCTTTACCGTTAATTTACAGCTCTCCTTTTTTACAGTCTGTTACCGTAAAAATACCATTGCAGGTGACTCATATGGAAAACCGATTGCTTTAAACAGTTCGAGTTCAAAAACTAGTATTTATATTGATAGTACCGTAAAATTCCTTCATTAGAGTCCACTGAAAATGAATATCTCTTTATATAAAACTGCAAACACCTAATATGTAATAGTGAATTAATTAAAAACATGATTTTAACTTTGATTTTAAGTCTTTTTAAAGTCTTTGCAGTTTATATAGCAAACATTAGCATACATTGTGCTAAAGTACTTAGCAAGGAGATTGTCACTTTATCAGCAACTACACAGTAGGGCTGGGCGATTAATCGCACGATATTGTTATGCGCATCTAATCAGTAAAGCCAGTTCCTTGATTAGTAGTAAATCACCTTCACCTGCTTTCAGATGGACGATATGATGCAGATATGACTCTATGAGTGTTAAATTAACACTCAAGAGTGTTAAAGTTAATGAGATAATTGTGATTAATTTAGTGATGATTGAGCATTATTGAAGACACCTGATGATAACAAGCAGAATCACTGAAGGAGAAAATCTAAAATTGTAAGTTGGTTATGTTTTGACATAATCATGCTGTGATCTGAAAAATGAAACTCATTCGGATGATGTTGTTTAACTTGATAGCAACAGTTTAGTGGTCCTACAGCATATGATAATTGTATGTTTCTTACAATCCAAACCATTTAATAAAAATTGTTCTGAAGAAATCACTTTCAAATGCATTTCTTTAGAAACACAGATATCAATAATCAGCCTCTGAATCTCAACCGTGGTGACAATAATAATCCTTGTTGCCACCAATCACAACTCATTAATGGCTCCCATCATGCATTGCGGTATGAATAAATTATGATCTGAATTGTCTATGTAATTTACTTTTCCTAATTGAATATTCTGCTCATCACCATTGTTGAGATGCATTGACTGAATCGTGATATCTGTGTGTGCCTAAAACAAAGATTTTTTTTTTTTTACAACTTTTAAGAAATCCCTTATATTATATCACAAATTCTTGATATTTATGCAGAATCTCAGTTATGCTGTAACCAACAGCATAAATCACAAACAAATAGCTCAAATGATAAATGTCATAATATAATCAATACCATTAGATCATTGTTTTTCTTTGTTCATCTTGCAGGTATAGCTCGGATACAACAGCCGAACAAAATCTAAAGTTATGAATATAAGGGTCAAGAGCCCAACTAAAGCAAACACTCATCTCCATAATGGTGACCTGAAATTCCAGTTTTCTCCTTCAGTGATTCTGCTTTAGGTGTCTTCAATAATGCTCAATCATCACTCAATTAATCACTTAAATATCTCATTAACTTTAATACTCTTGAGTGTCGACTCATACACTCACAGGTGTGATCATTTAACATTGGAGTTTTTGCTGTGTACAAAGAGCCGTAGTTAACTGACAAGCTGAGCTAGGGCTGGGCGATATATCGCACGATATTTTTATGCGCGTCTCTTCAGTAAAGCCGGTTCTTTGATTAGTAGTAAATCACCTTCACCTGCTTTCAGATGGAAGATATGATGCAGATATGACTGTTAAATTAACACTCAAGAGTGTTAAAGTTAATGAGATAATTAAGTGATTAATTTAGTGATCATTGAGCATTATTGAAGACACCTGATGATAACAAGCAGAATCACTGAAGGAGAAAATCTAAAATTGTAAGCAACCGTTATGGCGATCAGTGTTTGCTTTAGTTGAGCTCTTGATCCATATACTTTAAGTTTAAATTTTGTTTGTTTGCTGTTATTGATTTATTACAGTCAAATGAACAAAGACAAGTGTGATCTGATAGTGTTGGTTATGTTTTGACATAATCATGCTGTGATCTGAAAAATGAAACTCATTCGGATGATGTTGTTTAACTTGATAGCAACAGTTTAGTGGTCCTACAGCATATGATAATTGTATGTTTCTTACAATCCAAACCATTTAATAAAAATTGTTCTGAAGAAATCACTTTCAAATGCATTTCTTTAGAAACACAGATATCAATAATCAGCCTCTGAATCTCAACCGTGGTGACAATAATAATCCTTGTTGCCACCAATCACAACTCATTAATGGCTCCCATCATGCATTGCGGTATGAATAAATTATGATCTGAATTGTCTATGTAATTTACTTTTCCTAATTGAATATTCTGCTCATCACCATTGTTGAGATGCATTGACTGAATCTTGATACCTGTGTGTGCCTAAAACAAAGATTTTTTTTTTTTTTACAACATTTAAGAAATCCTTTATATTATATCACAAATTCTGGATATTTATGCAGAATCTCAGTTATGCTGTAACCAACAGCATAAATCACAAACACTTAGCTCAAATGATGATTGTCATAATATAATCAATACCATTAGATCTTTGTTTTTCTTCGTTCATCTTGCAGGTATAATTCAGATATGACAGCCTAACAATGTCTAAAGTTATGAATATAAGGGTCAAGAGCCCAACTAAAGCAAACACTCATCTCCATAATGGTGACCTGAAATTCCGGTTTTCTCCTTTAGTGATTCTGCTTTAGGTGTCTTCAATAATGCTCAATCATCACTCAATTAATCACTTAAATATCTCATTAACTTTAACACTCTTGAGTGTGGACTCATATACACTCCCAGGTGTGTTCATTTAACACTGGAGTTTTTGCTGTGTAAAGAGCCGTAGTTAACTGACAAGCTGAGCCATATCGCATTAAATATCGCTGGCGATACGTCCGCGATATTAGTGTGATATGGCTCAGCTTGTCAGTTAACTACGGCTCTTTGTAGTAAATGCCGCTCCATCTGAAAGCAGGTGAAGGCGATTTACTACTAATCAAGGAACCGGCTTTACTGACGAGATGCGCATAACAATATCGTGCGATATATCGCCCAGCCCTAAGCTGAGCCATATCGCATTAAATATCGCTGGCGATACGTCCGCGATATTAGTGCGATTTGCCTCAGCTTGTCAGTTAACTACGGCTCTTTGTAGTAAATGCCGCTCCATCTGAAAGCAGGTGAAGTCGATGTACTACTAATCAAGGAACCGGCTTTACTGACGAGATGCGCATAACAATATCGTGCGATATATCGCCCAGCCCTAGTTATGAAGGATTTTTAAACTCATCATTCAATAAAAAATTTTGAACTATGGCTTTACTTCGACACACACTAACATCAAGAATCAGCCAATGAATCTCAGAAATGGTGACAATCAACAAAAAAGATAACATTAAATTTAAACATCCCCAAATACGCAACTAAAAGTCAACACAAAACCAAAAGCAAAAATAAAAGCAAAAAGTAAAAAATTAAAGCGAAGAACCAGACAATTCAGCTGCATAATTTATTCATGCTGCAATGCATGCTGGGAGTCATGGCTTTTTTTTTGGTACCCAACATGCATTGCAGCATAAAACTTATGATTGTCACCATTGTTTAGATTCATACGCCAGTTCTTGATGCCTGTGTGTCTGGCTGATCAAGAAGTTCAAAATGTTCTGAGTATATCCTTTTTTAAATCATTAATATTTTCTGGACGTCAAATCCCCGATAGATCTCAATCTGTAAAATCACAATGGCAACAAAATCAAAACTACAAAACATCAACCATTTAACAACTTTAGGCAGCAAATGAGATCAGTGAATTGGGCTGTTACATGATGATTGTGACTATTAACAAACAGCCATTGTCATCTTGTTTGCTTCAGCTTTGAGCCATTGCTAATGTATTTTAAAAAGTCACAGTTACAGCAGCCAAAAAAAAACTAATGTTCAAAAGTCAAGGGTCAAGAGCCCAACCACAGCAATCACTGATCACCATTATGGTAACATCAAATGAAAATATAATGACGTCTAAACCTCTGTCACCTTTTAATAAGACCTTCTGTAGAAGTCTGACAGAAATAAAGTCTGTCTGGTTAGTATTAAGTGAAGCTGGTAATGCTGTTTGTGGAGTTGTTTAATCCTCTGCTGAGATCTTTTGCTAAGATTTAATGTCTTTTATCTTGATTTCATCTTTTTTTCTGTTCTTCTTGTTCCTCTTTCCTTCAGTGATTCTGATTGTTAACAGCAGGTGTTCATCAGGGTCTCAATTAACTTAGAGAAAATTTACTGAATTATTCCCTCAGTCAATTGGACTATATTAGTGAACTAATGTAGGGAATAGTGAATGAGGGTATAGGGTGTGATTGGGAACACAGCCTCTGAGTGTCGACTTTAAGCGCTGGTAATTCACAGTATATTCCTGTAGGCTACTTTCTCGAAAATGACAAATATCACCACGAATGCATTTTTTCTACGGTATATTACTGTTTTAATGGAATACAGCATGTTACTGTAAAATTTGGCTGTTTTTTTACAGCAATTTTTTACAGTGTATTAACTAATCAATAACTACTTTTTTTTAATGCTTCCCAGAGAACTACTGTAAGAATCATGGTAACTAACTAGTAATGACTCAAGTGTTACTACATACTTCTAAAGGAATGACTAATTATTTGGATCCGTATTCTAAAGTGAAGATCACGGTAACTAACTAGTAATTACTCAAGTGTTACTACATACTTCTAAAGGAATTACTAATTCTTTTAAGCGTTTGAGGTTTTTGGTGAAGTTTTGTATAATAATTCCCATAGAAGTATGTAGTAACACTTGAGTAATTACTAGTTAGTTACCATGATCTTCACTTTAGAAAACGGATCCAAATAATTAGTAATTCCTTTAGAAGTATGTAGTAACACTTGAGTAATTACTAGTTAGTTACCATGATCTTCACTTTAAAATACGGATCCAAATAATTAGTCATTCCTTTAGAAGTATGTACACTGAAAAAAAATGATACTTTGGACCAACCTAAAAAATTACTGTAATTTGTTACAACTAAATGTATTAGTCTTTCTCAAGCTATATTTTTGATTTGGTTTAAACTTTAAATTTTAATTTAATAGCAATCAAAATAGTTATTCTGCTCAACAAAAAGTTAAATGACTCTGAAGCAGTGTTAAAGTTAATGAGATAATTAAGTGATTAGTTGAGTGATTATTGAAGACACCTGATGTTAACAAGCAGAATCACTGAAGGAGAAAAACATAATTTTTAAGTCATCGTTATGGTGATCGGTGTGTGTTTTAGTTGGACTCTTGACCCTTAAAACATTAACTTTAAATGTTGTTTGGCTGCTGTACATGAGTTATAACAGCCAGATGAACAACTAGAAAAGGTGATCTGATGCACTGAAAAAAGTGAAACTACTGTGTCGTTCATTTAAAGTGCATTTTTATATTGGCCTAAATTGAAAATCACAGTTTCTGATTTAAACCTGTTTTGTTCAGTTTTCCTTAAAGCAAATAACAAACACAAAACAATTATACTTTGGACCAACTTAAAAAAAATTACTGTAATTTGTTACAGCTAAATTTATTAGTTTTTCTCAAGCTATATTTTTGATTTGGTGTAGCCTCCTCAGACCTGGTTGTCCACATACGTGGACATCACAAAGTCCAGGGGTCAGAAAGTAAAAGTCCTGCCATATTTTTATTCCACCCACAGCAAAAACTCCAGTGTTAAATGAACTTTACTGGGAGTTTATTTGGATCCAGACTCAAGAGTGTTAAAGTTAATGAGATAATTAAGTGAATAATAGAGTGATGATTGAGATATTATTGAAGACACCAGATGTTAACTAGCAGAATCACTGAAGGATAAAATCGATATTTTAGGCACCGTTATGGTGATCAGTGTTTGCTTTAGTTGGGCAGGTGACCTTTAAATGTTTAACTAAATATTTTGTTTGGCTGTTTTAACAGCTGGATGAACAAAGAGATCAGATCAGATCAGATGTTGTAGATCATGTTTAGAAATAATCATCATTTGACCTGAATCACTGAACTCATTTAAAGCCTACTTTCTGACTTAAATGTATAATGATCATAACAGCATCACAGTGATTCTATAACATTATATCCAGATTTTTCAAAATAAACCAAATGATATCTTACACGTTGTTTTGATAAATAAATAATAATCATCTGGCTGTCAGCAGCCAAACAACATTAAAAGTGAATGATTTAAGGGTCAAGAGTCCAACTAAAACACACACTGATCACCATAACGGTAAAAAAAAAAAAAGTTTTCTCCTTCAGTGATTCTGCTTGTTAACATCAGGTGTCTTCAATAATGCTCAATCATCACTCAATTAATTACTTAATTATCTCATTAACTTTAACACTGCTTCAGAGCAGAGATGGGCAGTATTTTAATTACAAAATACTCAAAAGTAATTAAATACGTATTTCAAATACAAAATATGTAATTTGTATTTATTATGTGAGTGTGTTGCTGAAATCTGAGTACACAGCAAAAAGTGTTAAATCAGCACTGCTCAGAGCACATATGGTCCCACTCTACAGAGGGTTAAAGCTAATGAGATAATTAAGTGATTAATTGAGTGATGATTGAGCATTATTGAAGACACCTAAAGCAGAATCACTGAAGGAGAAAATCACAAATTGTAAGCCACCGTTATGGCGATCAGTGTTTGCTTTAGTTGGACTCTTGACCCTTAAATTATTAACTTTAGATTTTGTTTGGCTGTTGTTTCTGAGTTATAACTGCCAGATGAACAACGAAAAAAGTGATCTAATGGTGTTGGTTTAATTATGACAATCATAATTTGAACTTTTTGTTTGTGGTTTATGCTGTTGGTTACAGCATAACTGTGATTCTGCATAAATATCCAGAATTTTAGCTATAATAAAAAGGATTTCTTAAAATTGTTTAAAAAAATAATCCTTCTTTTAGGCACACACAGACTTCAAGATTCAGTCAATGCATCTCAACAATGGTGACGAGCAGAATATTCAATTAGGAAAAGTAAATTAGATAGACAATTCAGATCATAATTTATTCATATCGCAATGCATGATGGGCACCATTAATGAGCTGTGATTGGTGGCAGCCACTGCAACATGCTTTATTATTGTCACCATTGTTGAGATTCACAGGCTGATTATTGATGTCTGTGTTTCTAAATAAATTCATTTGAAAGTGTTTTGATCAGAACAATGTTTATTCAATATTTTGGATTATAAGAAAAATACTGATAATCATATGCTGTAGAATCACAAAGCTGTTGCTAACAAGTTAAACCAAACTATGCTCAACATAAACTTATTTATCTCAAAAAGTTTATTTTTTCAGATCACAGCATGATTATGTCAAAACATAACCAACACTATCAGATCACACTTTTCTTTGTTCATTTGACTGTTATAAATCAATAACAGCAGACAAACAAAATTTTAATTAAAAGTTTAAGGGTCAAGAGTCCAACTAAAGCAAACACTGATCGCCATAACGGTGGCTTACAATTTGTGATTTTCTCCTTCAGTGATTCTGCTTGTTAACATCAGGTGTCTTCAATAATGCTCATCATCACTAAATTAATCACTTAATTATCTCATTAACTTTAACACTCTTGAGTGTTAATTTAACACTCATATCTGCATCATATCTTCCATCTGAAAGCAGGTGAAGGTGATTTACTACTAATCAAGGAACCGGCTTTACTGAGGAGATGCGCATAACAATGTCATGCGATATATCGCCCAGCCCTAATAAGTATTTTAAGTATTTTAAATACAAATGACAGTCCCTCAAAGTAGGCTATTTAATTACAAATTTCATTTGATTTATTTTTGTTAAGGAAAATACAAATTACATGTATTTGAAATACGTATTTAATTACTTTTGAGTATTTTGTAATTGAAATACTGCCCATCTCTGCTTCAGAGTCATTTAACTTTTTGTTGAGCAGAATAACTATTTTGATTGCTATTAAATTAAAATTTAAAGTTTAAACCAAATCAAAAATATAGCTTGAGAAAGACTGATAAATTTAGTTGTAACAAATTACAGTAATTTTTTAGGTTGGTCCAAAGTATCATTTTTTTCAGTGTGTGCTCTGAGGGTTTTTGCTGTGAAGAAACGTCACAGCACTGGGTGGGGGTTTCCTGGTTACAGATATCCAAAGAATACTTTCCTGTTTTGTTTTTTTGGGGAAAGGAGCCATGAATAACAGATTGAAGAGACACCACCCAAAAATATGTTTCAGACAATTAAGTTTTCAATCTTGAACACACTTCATCTGTGAACACATAGGCTACTGTATTGTAAATCTGTGAGAGCAAATAATGAAATCAGGCAAGTATACTGTAAACAAAGTTACTAAAGGAACAACTGGATCACAAACAGAGAGACTCTGGCAGGATGAAGGAAAAGCTAGAATGTGCAGTAAGTAGAAATTTTATTCTGACGTAGAGATGGAGTTGGTAATGGAGCAATAATGTAACTGAAAAATGTTAAATAAATAAAAAAACGCTGTAAAATCCAACAGTTGTTCTAACTAACACTTTTAAGTTAACTTTTAATTGTAAAAATCTAGTAATCTGTACTATTCACATACTATGGTTATTCAGAAAAAAACAAGTTAAGATTAATTGATTGGTTTGAGGGCAATTTTGTCAAGCAAAAACAAATAAAAAATACAAATAAATAAATGGTTTTAATAAATATAAAGTGGCGTAGCTGGTGTTGTTAAATGTGTCACTAATGTTTGAGGAAATGTCACATGCAAGTTCAAATTGTGTTTCTAAGAACAATGTCAATGTTTTCTGCTTTTATTTTGAATATATTAACACCTATACACAGTACCTTTTCAATATGCTCATCTTTAGATATTTAGAAACAAGTCTTGTAAAATAATATACTGTAAAAGCATATTTTCTACAGACAAATGTAGATTAAAAGGTTGATTTTAATCCTTTTTTGGAATAATAGGAAGGGTATTCACTGATATGTGTGTGTGTTGTCTCTGTTTGTCAGGAGGAAGCAGGTGTTTGGTGTTGATGACAGTGTGTCTCGGGCTCATGTGTGTTCTTCTGCTGGTCTTCATCACACTGCAGCACATCTGCATCACAGCAGAGAGAGACCTGTTACAGAGTTACAAGAACACAGTTGAAGAGTTCAATCACACTATCAACAGCTTACAGGACAAGAACACTGATCTAATGACTGAAAAAGACCAACTGAAGAACAACTTCAACTCTTTGAGTCAGAAGAAACTGGAGCTGGAGACCAGAGTCAATGATCTCAGTGCTGAGAAAAGTCAGTTACAGAAAAGTTTTAACTCTTTGAGTCAGAAGAAACTGGAACTGGAGACTGAACTAGGGAAGATATCTACACAAGTTCTGTACACAGCGTAATCCCCAGTGTTAAATTAACACTCCTCAGTGTACATATGTGTCCACACAGTAGCTGCGTTTACATGGTTCAATCGGAATGAAATCAATCCGATTAATGAATCCGAACACGGTGTTTACATGAACGATAAATAAAGTAATCGGGTTTATATGTCACAAAAATTCAAATCGGAATTGATTTTTTGACATGCGCACACTGCACAAGTATACTGCCGCTGTTCGCGCATAACTATTCTCCTCTATTGGTTCTTTACTTGTTTTAAACAGCAGACTTAATATTTATCTGTCTTTGGTCATGATTTGGAGACGATGAGCATGAACCATTTTGCCGCTGCTTATATTTATCACGCAGTAAAACCCCACGCCCAAAACCAGTCGAGTGTGGATGAGAATCTGAAGCAAGCACTGGTGGGACGTTGTCCTGCTCCACTTCACAGACGCAGTGAAATGATAATTTTTTAATAACGGGACACTCATTTATATGACATTTTATACATGAAGTTTTTTTAGTCCGATTGAGCTGTCAATCCGATTGTTAAAATTAACACTGAAGCAGTGTTGAAGTTAATGAGATAATTAAGTGATTCATTAAGTGATGATTGAGCATTATTGAAGATACCTGATGTTAATAAGCAGAATCATTGAAGGAAAGAGAACTACTGACTTCGAGTCATTACACATTATTGCACGGATTATTACTAGTTTGACTTTTGTTCTGTCATACATCTACACACAGTCTTATTTAGATTTACAGAAGTTTATATGGTGATGTTTTATGGAATGTTTCATTTCGTGCCACCATTATGGTGATAAGTGTTTGCTTTATTTGGGCTCTTGACCCTTTACTGTTTAACTTTAATTGTTGTCTCGTTGCTCCAACACTGTGTTCATAAAGCACATTTGTTGTGGCAAGAGAAACTATGACCTGGGCTGTGTTTTCTGAAAGCATCCTAAGCCTATTTGATCATATAGACCATTTACTGCAGTTGTTCTACGGTCAAGTTAAGCTTAAGATGTTCATGGAAACCGTGCCCAGGTGATGATGGTTATGTGTTGATGATGAAATTACAAGACTGTGGTGTCCTGATTCACTGATCTCACCCAGCATTATCTCCTTAAAGCAACAACTGCACGTTCACTTTTTACAGAGCTGTTTAGCTGTATGGATTCATGTCTGTAGCTTTAGAGGTGAAACGATTAACTCGTTTTCTAAAGGATCACGAATACTAGAAACTCTTAGTGACAGTTTTCTGAGCAGCTCGTGTCTGATCTCTTCTCAGTACAAACACTGACTGTCACTGAGTGAATGACAGATCTCTGTCTCTCTCAATAGTGCTAGTTTAGAGTCAGACACGATCAAACCACTGATACAGTGTTGATGACGACACTACTGGAACAAAACACTTCACAAGCTCAGAAACATCATTATTTTCATATAAAATGCTGAGGAAACTAAATGTCAGATTGTTACTTTAATATTAGTTTGTGACCCATGATTCACGCTGAACCTGGAAATGTTAGGGCATTTTGAAATGGTAATTTCTAGAAATGGAATTAAATAAGTCTTTAAAAAATATGTACATGATTGTACTGGTATGTGTATCAAACGTGTTTACTTCCAATTTACATGTTTGTCTTTTTCTTGTCTAAGATGCATTGATATTTAAATAATCCTATAAATGCATTTTTTTAAATTGTGCAAAAAAAAAAAAAAGCTTCATTTCTTAATATATTTTCATAACAGCTAATCTCTCTACAGACCCCTGCTACAACTACACTGTGCTGGACAATCCATGGAGATCCATCAATAATACACACATCTACTCCTCCTCCTCCTCCTACAACTGTGACGCGTTTATCTCCTGGAGCGGCTGGTATCGTCTCTTCATTAACAACACTAGCGCTCGTATCCCAGACACGTGTGTTGCTCAGGACAGTTGTGGCACTGATATCCCACTGTGGATCCGTGGTGGACACCCTACAGTAACAGATGGAGTCGTCACTCGAGATGTCTGCGGTCACTATGGCAGTTACGCTGGGAGTTACTGCTGCTATTTCGGGTCTTTTCCCATCAAAGTCAAAGCCTGTCCAGGCGATTATTATGTCTATGAGCTGGTTAGACCAACTAGATGTGATTCAGCATACTGTGCAGGTAATTATATTCACATGAGCTCTTTCTACACATTCATGATATTTGTGTTTCTGTTCATTAATCATTATTCATCCAAACTTTCAGACACTGGCAGCATTAACACTAGCCCTACAACTGTCACACCAGTGACCATCTCACCTGGTAATGTAACACTGTGTCTCTATTGGCTTATTTTCTGAATGTTTTCTAATGGCTACAGATATTCTATGGTAAATTTGAACATGGATTTTAACATGAATATTTTCCTCAAAAGTCAAGGAAATGTTTTGGTAGAGATATATGAAACCTGTAGATTGTTCTCAGGTGTGTGTGTGTGTGTCATTCAACACTGTAAAAAATTGCCCTGTAAAATTAATCTTCTGGCAGCTGTGTTGCCAGAAATGTACTGTTAATTTACAGCCCTTTACCGTTAATTTACAGCTCTCCTTTTTTACAGTACGTGACCGTAAAAATACCATGACAGGTAACTCATATCATTTGGGAAACTGATTGCTTTAAACAGTTCGAGTTCAAAAACTAGTATTTATACTGATAGTACCATAAAATTCCTTCATTAGAGTACACAGAAAATTAATATCTCTTTATATAAAACTGCAAACACCTAATGTGTAATAGTGAATTAATTAAAAACATGTTTTTAACTAAAGTCTTTGCAGTTCGTATAACGAACAATAGCACATATGTAGGTGTTAAAGTACTTAACAAGGAGATTGTCACTGCATCAGCAACAACACAGTCACTGCTTTTAAATAAAGCTACAGGCAGCTTAACATCAGTGTTTCTCTGCTCATCTTTGACTGAAGCACAGGCTCTACTCTCCAGCACAATGGTGACTCACAAAACTCATTAATTAAACTAACAGATCTCTCCTATATCATCCTGTGCAAAACACATAAAACAGTTGAGTTTAATATTTACTCTCCTTATCAGTTATTGACTTCACATAACTTTTTTCTATGAACTTTCACTAATATTTCAGTGAAATTAACTTATTTTGTTTAATACATCTGACTGTTACATTTTACAGTAATTTACTGTTTTTCCTTGATTTTACAGTAATCTACTGGCAGCTGGGTTGCCAGTATATTGCTGTTTTTCTACAGTTTTATGCCGTAAATTTAATTTACAGTTGATTACTGTTAAAATACGTTTCACTCTGTTTTGTTTTTATTTGACACATTTAACCCTTTCAACCCCACTGCAAAGTCCACACTACAGAGTGTTGGAGTAATACTGAAGCAGTGTTGAAGTTAATGATATAATTCAGTGATTAATCAACTGATAATTGAGCATTAGTGATGCACACCTGATGTTAACAAGCAGAATCACTGAAGGACAGGGAAACAAAAAGAAGATAAAAAAGCGAAACACAAGAACTACAACTGGCTTCAGCCACAGAATACATTAAATCTGAAGATCTCAGCAGAGGAGGATTAAACAACTCCACAAACAGCATTATCAGCTTCATTTATTACTAACCAGACTGACTTTATTTTTTCATACGTCTACATAAATTCCTATTGAGAATTAACAGAGGTTTAGATGTTTTGTTTAATTTGACGTTACCATTATGAAGATCAGTGTTTGCTTTAGTTGGGCTCTTGACCATTGACTTTAACATTACCTTTTCAATGCCTGCTCTAACTGTGTGTTTTTAAGACACATTTGTTGTGGCAAAAACAAAGCCAACAAAAATTAGGTCTGGTTTTGATGATTATGCCGTCATTAAATAATATTTCGATCTCAGCCTGTGTCTATTCCTTATCGATAATGTGTAGACTATTTTACTAGACGGTGAATCTACAGCAAAAGAACAAGCAGTGCTGCGTAATCAGCTATAAAGGATTTTTAAACTCAACATTCACAATTTTTGTTTTTGAACTATGGCTATTCTTTGACACACACAAACATAAAGAATCAGCCAATGAATCTCAACAACGGTGACAATTAACAAAAAAGATAACATCAAATCTGAACATCACAAAATATGCAACTAAAAGTCAACACAAAACCAACAGCAAAAATAAAAGCAAAAAAGTAAAAATTAAAGCAAATAACCAGACAATTCAGCTGAATAATTTTTTTCATGCTGCAATGCATGCTGGGAGTCATGGATGTTTTTTTGGTACCCAACATGCATTGCAGCATACAACTTATGATTGTCACCATTGTTGAGATTCATACGCCTATTATTGATGTCTGTGTGTGTCTGGCCGATCAAGAAGTTCAAAATGTTTTGAGTATAAACTTCTTAAAATCATTAATATTTTCAGGATGTCAAATCCCCGACAACTCTCAATCTATAAAACCACAATGACATCAAAATCAAAAATACAAATCATCAACCATTTAACAACGGCTGCATAATTTATTCATGCTGCAATGCATGCTGTGAGCTAGGGCTGGGCGATATATCGCACGATATTGTTATGCGCGTCTCTTCAGTAAAGCCGGTTCCTTGATTAGTAGTAAATCGCCTTCACCTGCTTTCAGATGGAAGATATGATGCAGATATGACTGTTAAATTAACACTCAAGAGTGTTAAAGTTAATGAGATAATTAAGTGATTAATTTAGTGATGATTGAGCATTATTGAAGACACCTGATGATAACAAGCAGAATCACTGAAGGAGAAAATCTAAAATTGTAAGCCACCGTTATGGCGATCAGTGTTTGCTTTAGTTGGGCTCTTGATCCTTATACTTTAAGTTTAAATTTTGTTTGTCTGCTGTTATTGATTTATTACAGTCAAATGAACAAAGACAAGTGTGATCTGATAGTGTTGGTTATGTTTTGACATAATCATGCTGTGATCTGAAAAATGAAACTCATTCAGATGATCTTGTTTAATTTGATAGCAACAGTTTAGTATTCCTACAGCACACGATAATTGTATGTTTGTTATAATCCAAACCATTTAATAAAAATTGTTAGGATCAATTCACTTTCAAATGCATTTATTTAGAAACACAGACATCAATAATCAGCCTGTGAATCTCAACCGTGGTGACAATAATAATCCTTGTTGCCACCAATCACAACTCATTAATGGCTCCCATCATGCGTTGCGGTATGAATAAATTATGATCTGAATTGTCTATGTAATTTACTTTTCCTAATTGAATATTCTGCTCATCACCATTGTTGAGATGTACTGACTGAATCTTGATATCTGTGTGTGCCTAAAACAAAGATTTTTTTTTTTTACAACATTTAAGAAATCCTTTATATTATATCACAAATTCTGGCTATTTATGCAGAATCTCAGTTATGCTGTAACCAACAGCATAAATCACAAACACTTAGCTCAAATGATGAATGTCATAATATAATCAATACCATTAGATCTTTGTTTTTCTTTGTTCATCTTGCAGGTATAATTCAGATACGACAGCCAAACAAAATCTAAAGTTATGAATATAAGGGTCAAGAGCCCAACTAAAGCAAACACTCATCTCCATAATGGTGACCTGAAATTCCGGTTTTCTCCTTCAGTGATTCTGCTTCAGGTGTCTTCAATAATGCTCAATCATCACTCAATTAATCACTTAAATATCTCATTAACTTTAACACTCTTGAGTGTGGACTCATATACACTCCCAGGTGTGTTCATTTAACACTGAGTTTTTGCTGTGTAAAGAGCCGTAGTTAACTGACAAGCTGAGCCATATCACATTAAATATCGCTGGCGATACGTCCGCGATATTAGTGCGATATGGCTCAGCTTGTCAGTTAACTACGGCTCTTTGTAGTAAATGCCGCTCCATCTGAAAGCAGGTGAAGGCGATTTACTACTAATCAAGGAACCGGCTTTACTGACGAGATGCGCATGACAATATCGTGCGATATATCGCCCAGCCCTACTGTAAGCCATGTATTTTTTTTTGGTACCCAACATGCATTGCAGCATACAACTTATGATTGTCACCATTGTTGAGATTCATACGCCGATTATTGATGTCTGTGTGTGTCTAGCCCAGTGTTTCTCAACCTCTCCTGCAGGGACCCCCTGACAGGCCATGTTTCTGTTTTAACCCTGAAATGGCACACCTGATTCAAGTCATTAAAGGCTTAATGAGTAGTTGACTAATTGATTAATTGAACTATTCCTACTCTAATTACTCATTAAGCCTTTAATTACTTGAATCAGGTGTGCCATTTCAGAGTTAAAACAAAAACATGGCCTGTCAGGGGGTCCCTGCAGGAGAGGTTGAGAACCACTGGTCTAGCCGATCAAGAAGTTCAAAATGTTTTGAGTATAAACTTCTTAAAATCATTAATATTTTCAGGATGTCAAATCCCCGACAAATCTCAATCTATAAAACCACAATGACATCAACATCAAAAATACAAATCATCAACCATTTAACAACGTCAGGCAATAAATGAGATCAGTAAGTAAATCAAGCCATTATATGATGATTGTGACTGGAGACAAATAGTCACTGTCATCCTGTTCTCTTCAGCTTTGTGCCATAGCTAACGTATTTCTTAAGTCACAGCTACAGCAGCCGAAGATTAACTAATGTTCAAAAGTCAAGGGTCAAGAGCCCATTTAAAGCAATCACTGATCACCATCATGGTAACATCAAATGAAAATAAAATGACATCTAAACCTCTGTCACCTTTTAATAAGAACTTCTGTAGACGTCTGACAGAAATAAAGTCAGTCTGGTTAGGAATAAGTGAAGCTGGTAATGCTGTTTGTGGAGACGTTTAATCCTCTTCTGCTGAGATCTTTTGCTAAGATTTAATGTCCTTTATCTTGATTTCATCTTTTTTTCTGTTCTTCTTGTTCCTCTCTCCTTTAGTGATTCTGATTGTTAACAGCAGGTGTTCACCAGGGTCCCAATTAACTTAAAAAAATAACAGAATTATTCACTCAGTCAAGTGGAATATATTAGTGAACTAATGTAGGGAATAGTGAATGAGGGTATAGGATATGATTTTGAACACACACTGTAAAAAATAAAATCGTAAAAAAAGGGTCAAATGACTGGCAGCAAAGGCTGCCAAACAAATACCGTAAAAATAAAGTAAAATATCCTAATTTAAATTAAATGCAAAAACATTTAACAGATATTTTTCTTAAATGTTTTACAGAAAAACACTGTTATTTTACAGCTATTATCTGGATTATT